CACCTGTGTGTGGCGTGTGTGTCCCCCCCCACACACACCCCCGATGAATTTGGGGCAGGAGGAGCCTGGCGTGAGCCCCCTGGTCCTGCCTGTGCAGCAAACAGGCTGTGGGAGGGGGTGGCTGCTTTCCTGGGCTCTCAGCTGCTGCATCCCCTGAGCTCACAGATGGGGCTTGGGCAGCTCTCACCCCCCCACACACCCCACACACCCCCCACCCCCTTCATCCATCCCTTCATCCCTTCATCCATCCATCCCTTCATCCCTTCATCCATCCATCCCTTCATCCCTTCATCCATCCATCCCTTCATCCCTTCATCCATCCATCCATCCATCCCTCCCTCCATCATCCATGGGATGGAGTAATGGGATGGATGGAGGGATGATGGATGGATGGAGGGATGGATGGAGGGATGATGGATGGATGGATGATGGGTGGGGGGATGGGTGGAGGGATGGATGGACAGCTGGACACATCCACCTTGAGGGGCAGTGTCATCATGGGTGCTGCCCAGAAAGGAGAAGGACTGCACAGGCCACTTTGATCTTCCCCTCCTTGTCAGCATCTTCCCAAAGGCCAATCCTGCTGCCTGAGGGAGGTTTTCTGACCCTGCCCATCTGCCTCCCCCAGGGACCAGGCAAGACCTTTCTGCTGTGCCAACCCAGGGACACAACAGGACTCTCTGCCTTGGCCCAGGGAGGCTGGCAGCTAAAGATAGATCTCATCAGCAGGTTGGCAGACACCGGGGAGATCAAGAGGAGGCTTTGAAACCTGCCTTGTAGAAACTGGGTCAATAGGAAGCCCACAGGAAACAGCCCAACCCCAGCACACACTTCACCCCTGCCTGTGTCCTGCGGGTGCCCTGGGGCTCTGCCATGCCCTGCTCCCCTCCCACATGCCCCCCTGCCAGCTCTGCAGATCCAGGGTGGTCCCACGGCTGGGGAATGCCTCAGGGGACTGGAAAGGGGCAGCCCCTGTCAGGAACCAGGTGCTGGGGCTCAGCACAGGTGCTTGAGCAGGGCTTTTCCTCCTGTCAGGGGGAACCGAGCCCCAACCCAGGCTCTTGGGTGACTGTCCAGGGAGAAGGGAGCTGGGGAGAAGTTTTTCTGCAGCAAACTGCCCCATCAGCAGCCATCAGGATGTGGTTTGTGGAGTCTGGGCCCTGCTCGTGGTCATGCCAGGCCACCAGCTGGGACTGTGACTTGCCACTCTGGGGATGTCCCTTCTGCCCTGGAACAATCCTTCCCCTCCCCAGCTCCCCGGGGTGCAGGGTGGGAGCCCCGCTCCTCCCAGCAGGGGGGCAGAGGTGCTGCAGGGTGCTGAGCAGCCAGGATGTGGCCCCAGGCAGGAAAGTGCTTCACCAGTAGCACACCTGGGTAGGAACCATGGCATGCTGGCTGCCACCAGTGCCACCAGCACCCTTTGTTTCCCAGCAGCCAGGCTGCAGACCCCAGCAGCCCCTCTGTGAGAGCAGTGCTTTTTCAGCCAAACAGCTCCTCCTAAGAGGCAGGGATAGGAGCCCGGTGGGACAGCACAGTCCAGGTGCTGCTCCAGAGGGTCCCTGCTCGCCTGGAATGTCCCCAGGTCTGCACCCCACCCACAGGGTGACCCAAGGAGCCACCCGGGCCATCCCCAGCACCGGGGATGTGTCACCCCCCACTGCAGCAGCTACAGGGAAGGGGGAAGAAAGGCAAAGCTGTGCTGGGCTCACCCTGAGTTCTGCTTCTGCTTTGCAGCACTGAGCCTGTGAGGAGAAGCTGCTTTTCCACACCTACCTGCAGACACAGACACTTGGACAGGGTGCCCACCCCATCCC